TTGTTATTGGCAATAAGTACATGTGCTTGTTTATTAATAATTCAAATATTATGTTCAAACAAATTTAAGTAAAAGGTATGCAATTTCAAGAAAAAAGCAGTTGCCTAGTTTTTATGCATACGGCTTAACATATCCGGTAGGAACCAGAAGGTCAGTATGTATAAATAAAAAGCTTTATCAGGGGAACGTGTTATATTTTCAAATAACAAATAAATAAAAAATACATCGTAATGAAATGTTGCCGTTTATTGCATGTGATCTGATGCCGGATTCAATTTATAGGTTCTCGTAGGTAGCTCGTTCTCGAAGTCATCAGTGGTGAAGTGTTTTACACAGATGACGCTGGTTCGGGCGTTGAAATCCGTTGGTCTCCGGCAGAACTGGATCCACTTTTCCACCAACTCAATGTCGGCCGGAAAAGTAAAAAAAACTGCACCCAGATCCTTTGGCACTAACACTAGCACAATTAACCACTGCACACCTCATTTTTTTCTTTAATTTATAACTTTTTTATAAGTTTTCACAAAAAATAAGACAACGCTCAAAATCTTTCGAATTTGTAAATTTGTAAAGTTGAAATAACCTAAAATGTCACGAACCAGGAAATGTAAACAAAAGTATTGTGTGACGTCAGCGAATGGGTGGATGCTGTCAAATCGACGAAGACAGGGTTAGCGGTCCGCGAATGGTGCGACCTTTATTTTCTGGATCGTGCTGTAACACTCCTTTATTTGGACAGCTAAAACTGATAAATTTCTTAAGCTATTTTATAAACAATAATACAAAGTCTACTGAGAAAATCGCCAAAATGTATGCTGTATGAGCTTTATCTCTTATACCACTGATTGTTCAGATACCAGTTTTTGCGATATATCTCCTTTATGTAAGAAGCTAAACCCATTAAATTGTGCTACCGGTTTACATACCGATCACACAGCAGTGAAAATCATTCTGATTGTTTAGATATGATTTCTTATATGTTTAGAGGAGCTACTATGCCTGCTGTGAATATATATGAGATCTATGCCTGCTGTGAATATATAAATTGTTTCAAATGCAGTAATCTGTTAAAGTAAAATTTTCAGATGCTCATGAAAGGTATGAAGCCTTCGGCATAGTCGAAGACAGCGCTGCTCTGACTTGTTTTTTTTTTAATTTTTCACTCAAATCAAAAAACTTCATAATTTCTCACTCAAAAGAGTTATCATGAAAGTCAAATGAAGGAAAACCTTATGATAATAAATTGCCAAATAAGCGTACTGAAATAGAATGTGATTGCTAGCTGGCACACTTCGTAATATTTCATTATGCTTATAAGCATTTAACAATTGTCGCCACTTCCGTATCTTCCGAAAATTCCGAAAAAACTGGGATTTGACTGTTGAAATCAATTAATACATTTATTAGCGAGTTATTACTTAAACACTTATCGAAGTTACGATTGTTTCATTTTCTTGTTGTATATTCTTAATTGATGTATATTTTTAATTGAAAGGAACTGTTGATATTTTCATTCAATGCATCGAAAATATAGAGGTTTTTATACGATACCTACAAAAACTGCACCTCAAGTTGCGCCGCAAGAACAGCATCCCCATGCACAATATGGTAAACAATCCAATATCGAAGCTATGATAGCGTCGATGCAACAAAGCATGATGAATTTCATGACTTTCATGCAAAACACAATGCAAGAACTCATGCGAAATCAAAATACGCTGCTCAACCTGCTTGCTACTCAGCAAACAAGATAATGACCTTACTTAAAATAGCCCTCTGGAATGCAAATGGCATTCCTCGCCACAAACTAGAGCTGTCAAAATTTCTTAAGGACAAGGAAATTGACATAATGCTCCTTGCTGCAACACACCTAACTAAAAGATATAATTTTGACATTTCGGGATATACCTTTTATTGCACGAATCATCCAGATGGAAAGGCGCATGGCGGAACTGGTATTTTAGTCAGAAACCGGATTAAACACCATCATTTGACTGGAATTGCCGAGAATTATCTGCAAGCAACATCAATATGCGTACAAACAAAGCAAGGTGATATTACGCTGTCNTGGCGACTGCCTTCCTCGGGGATGAATATGCTAGGGATGAAATTTTTGGTACACACGCCTTCCAAGCACGCAGGGTTGCTTTTAAGAAACAAAAAATAATTAACTCCAAATAGTTTCAAAAAGTATAGTGTAAAACGAAATTTATTGAATAATTCCACATAAAATGGTATACATAAATGACTCATTTTCTAAACGATTTAAATAAAACTCATTTCATAAACTTTTTTGTGCAAACGGCATTTGCGAATTGACAGAAAAGTACTACGGATTCAAAATTTTTGTTAACTATGAGGTGAATGAAAATTTTCAACCCGGCCTGAAGGTTTTGAAGAAGGTGTCTAATAAGTGCATGGCTTTTAGTTCTAGAAGAATAGAAATCAGTAAAGACAAGTCTTTTTTGTATAATTTCTGGTTTTAATTGCTCAACTTCTTTTGCACCAGAGCAACTGTCAAAAATTTCCAGCAGTAAAAAGTTACGAATTGGCACAGCAGAAATGTAAAATTTTCTCGCCATAATAAAAAAGTTTTTTAAACATGGAACTTTTCCACTAATTGACATGAAATTACTATCTCAACGCTCGGAGCGCTGCCACTGAGGGCTTTTGCCAACTGATAAAAAAGAGAAAACTTGGAAATACCAAACAAAAATTTTGAGATTTCTCCTTGTGAATACGAATGCCATAGTTTTTACCTAGCTCGTGGGACTACGCAAAATTTTGACAGCTTGTAAATACGTATACACATAAAGTTGTTGGCGGTCATAAATAGTCAAAATCAAAATGGAGAAAAGAACAAAAAGCGTACGTTAGTTGTCAGTTATAAAATAAATCCAATTTATTTGCGAATATTAGTTTATTCTATTTATTGAAAGGCAACCACACTGAAAAGCTTGTGTTAATTATATTGATAACAGAACCTGGCAGCTCGCACGTTGTCTAAATTCTCAAGTAACATAAAATCCACAAAAGAATACATTGCTTGTATTACCATTAATACGCCATGTATAAATTTTAACAACACACAAAAATAGAGCTTTCGCACGAGCGTTTGTTTGGTTTTTCAACACCATTTATAATTTTCTTTTAATTTCTTTTTTTGTCAAATGCTTAAATTTATTTATCTAATAATAATGCAGCACACAACCCTGAAATCTAACAAAAAGTCTGAGGAAGGCCATTAAATAGCAGCACACAACCCCGTGCCTTCCTCAGGAGTGAATATAACTACATCAACAACGACTACTATAACAACAACCCAAAAAGGTTGGTTACTCTCTATACTGTGGTGGCTAGATTTAGCTACCATTTACCAAAGAACTTAGATAACAAGAAGGGACAACTCGTTATAATTGTGGCGAAAGTGCGCAACAGGGGCGTGCCTTCTCTTTTCATCCAATCAAAAAACGCCCTAGGGCAAAAGGGAAGACACGCCCCTATTTCGCACTGTCGCTACAATTATAACGAGTTGTCCCTTATTGTTATCTACGTTCTTTGCATTTACTTTATTTGCCCCGTGGATTTAAATTGCATCTAGCCCTTTTTTAGCCCTTTGGAAAAGTTATTCATCCTTGACACGAAAAAGTTGAATATGCTTAATTTGATATAATTGTTTTCATTTATGTAAGAGATGAATTTTTAAACCAAGACTCTGATATACATATATACATATTAAGGTATTGTATGTTCCTTACATTTTTATACAAACTAAGTATGTATAAAAGTGTTAGGGCCATTAACTTATCTATTAACAATTTAACTACACTTGTTTACGGCCCTTAATATGCTTAATGTTTTAAAGGGCCCATAGGTGATACCAGCATACTGTAACCATCAAGTATGGTGCCAGCCGATTGACCGCATATGTTCGTGTGGTGCGATTGTGCCAGCTGCTGGTGCGACATCAAAA